TTGTTTGGCAGGCCCGGGCTGGATTCGAACCCGCCACCTTAGGTGTATGTGGCTGGCGCCTTAGCCACTTGAGCCACAGGCGCTGAGCCAAAAACACAAATTTTAGATAGAACAGGACTTTGTTTAAGAGTCTTGTTTTGGTTTCTGGAGGAGGGGTTAGTGTACTAATGTTAAGTTTGGGAATGTAAACATTACACACATGAACATATTTTTGCTTTCATTTACAAAAAATATACCATTATCACTGGAAGACTTGGCCTAGACCTTAGCCCCCCCACCTTTTTTTTTTTTTTGAGACAGAGTCTCACTATGTTGCCCTTGGTAGAGTACCATGGCATCACAGCTCACAGCAACCTTAAAGTCTTGGGCTTAAATGATTCTCTTGCCTCAGCCTAACCTTAGCCCTTTTAATAACTGTTTTGGCCTTATTTAAAAAGCATATGGCTCCTGAATCAAGGAACAGAGGAAAAAATAAAGAAATAAAAAGCAGTGGCAGTGAAATTCCAGTAACTTCTAAAAATCAAAAGTCATAAATTGTTATCATATATAAACTCTCTTCTCCACTTATAATAAATACACATTTCTATAGTCATGGGCGCAGACAAGCAAATTAAATGTTACATCTAGTATGCCTGTCTTTCTCAACCCTACCATGCAAAAATTTCAGTCAACTTTCAGAAGTGGCTGCACCAGACATTTAGGGACCCTGTTAGTTACTCAGACCAACTTTTAGGCAAATCATCTATAGGACCTGAAAGTCCTACAGCATATTTAATTCACACAAATAAGACAATAATTCTGAAAACTATTTAGCAATAAGGACTAAGAAATAATGTATTTAATTTTGAAATGTACTATTCTCAAAACCTCTAGTAAGCTTCAACTGGATAGACAAGCCCTTATGCTTGCTTCAATTCAGAAGTGCCAAAACTGGGGATTAGTGTTTAATTTGGACCAACAGGTTTCTGCTAGCTGTTTTCAACTCAAATTCTCCCCATTCTACCCACTTTCTTTTGACCTGGTTTAACCCTATCTGTCAAGCTCTTCACTATAACCTCATTACCAAACATTTTTGACCACTACTTCAAAATATAAAATGGGACAATGTACCAACTAACAAGGCAAGCAAAGGCAAAGACTCTTACCTAGTAGGCATAGCTTTAATTAAGAAAAAAGGAAAATGGTCCCTGGAAAATGTGAGTCAGTACCCTGGACACTGCTGAAAAAGATGCAATCTCAGGAGTTTTAAAAACTATTATCGTATTAAGAAATAGTCCCGGCCCGGCGCCTATAGCTCAACCGGCTAAGGCGCCAGCCACGTACACCTAAGGTGGCGGGTTCGAATCCCCAGCCCGGACCCGCCAAACAACAAT